TCCTATTGGTTAGTTTTAGGGTATGTTTAGGTGTATCAAAAAAGTAAGTGCAAAAGTATCAAAAACGTAAGATTTGCTGCTCAGGCCTCTAGTATGTGCAGATCATCAACCAATCACGATTAAGTCACGTGCCTAACAGACGGACATTTTTTAAGTTTTACTTGTACATGTAAGTCCTCGCTACGCTTCAGACAATTAAAACCTAATTAAAGAAAATAATGATGTAAACATATATCTTATGGATATTCTATAACTTATATAAATAATTTTAGAATTAAAAAAAAAAAGCTTATTAAATTTGATTAAATATTTGATGAGATATTTTAATTTAAATTTTTAAAGTTGATAAAAATGATTTGTCCCATTTCTATTAATTACCCTACATGATTTTAATTATTATTATATGATCTATAAAAAATTATACCACAAACTTTAAAGCTAAAATTAAACTTAGGTTAGGATTTAAAGCTTAAATTAAGTGGAGGTTAAGGTTTGTTAGGGTGCTGAACACTTTTACTTAGTTACCAAATACCGATTATCAAAATCGTTTTTAAGAAACAACATACCGGTAAATTTCACCTCCAGTGAGAATTAAAATTGTCCCACTTTTTTTTTAAAAAAAAAAATCAAAAAATTACTATTAACTAAAAATTGATTATCGTGGTTTTCGAATATTCGATTGCCTTACCACATTGATTAAAGATCGATGCCCGATTTTATATGCATACGATGTAATTATTTACTAAAACAATAACATCGTATGTAAAATCGGGCATCAATCTTTAATCAATGTGCCAAGGTAATCGGGTGTTCGAGTATTCGCAGTATTCACCAAAAAAAATTTATTTGCCATTTTCAACCATTCGAAAACCGCGATAATTAAATTTTGGTACGTATATATAAAATAAAACATTTGGACAATAGACAAAACGACTATTCTATATCACCCTGAATTTTTATTTTAAAAAATTATTTTAGCATAAATAATTGGTTAATGTAATATATGATTAATGAGTTTTCTAAAAATCCCAACTCAGATATAAATCCGATACGATAACAAATTCAAACCTCTAATATTCAGTTTTTTCTTAATTGTTCTGCGCAATTATATAAAGATAAATACAAATATCTAAAGTTTAGCAAACCAACTTGACGGTACGTCAACTTCAAAATTTAGCAGCATTTGAGCATAAGTTTTTCCTTGTTTATCGATATTTAAAGAACTTAAACCTCCCCCACCTAATGTATTGTGAAAGAAATTGATTAAATAAGTATAAAAAATAGATAAAATTACCATAAAAAAATTAATAACAACATTCACAATACTTACCTAGACATCTAGTCAACACAAAATTCAATCCATTACAACCAGGTAATTCGTATCTCTTAACTATCCCTCTACATAAATGGATCATGTAGTCTTTGACTGCCTATATATAATATAGATTATTAATCGACTTATAAATGCGAAATTAATGAAAATAAAAATTCATGAATAATTAACCTCCTCGGTCAATGACTTTTTCAACAAGGGATAATATTTGGGTTCACGTGCCAAGATTCCTACAAAAAAAAAAAAAAAAAACATTAACAATCATAATATATAATATAAAACCTGCATATACTTTAATATATACGACAATTACTCACCAATATTACAAACATCGCCTTTATCCCCACTTCTTCCCCATGCCAATTTTATTAAAGGTACTTTAATCATCATTCCACTATCAATTTTGCCATCCATTTCATTTGGAATTTTTGGTAATGGTGGCGGTATTATATTATCATTATGAGTAGGACCATCAAAAGTTACCTTTTCAGATGATTCATTTCCAACAACAACAAATGACGAAACTGAGTCCTTTGATATCAAACGTGCAAAGTGGACAAGACATGGTGATGGATGAGGACGTCCTAATCCGCTTCCTTTATGAAAAGAAGTCAATAATAGATCAAAGTAGACGAAAGTTCATTATATAAGGATACGAAAAATTACCAGCAATTCCTGGTGCCGTGCTTGTAGCTGACTACAGAATAATTCAAATTAGACAAAAAATTCCACTTTATTAAACATAAAATGAATTATGATTGATTGTGCTTACAGGAGCAAGTTCCATCCCAAAAAGTTTTATGGCTTCTAACTTATCATGATGAACTGTAATATTTAACACAACTTCACGGGTATTATGAGTCTTAGCATGGCCTCTAATAATCGTTAACAGAGTTAAATTGCACAATTATTAATAGAGTTAAATTACAATCGTAACAAAATTAAATTACACAACCGTTAACAGAGTTAAATTAAAGTTCTGGACAGAACGTACTCAAACCACATACCCATAAGTATGTTCAGCTCCTAATACTTCGACGTTAACATCTCGATATCCACCAAAATTGTATCTTTGAAACAAAATACGTGTCCTCGTGACGATAGCGTATGCGACAGTCGCTGCCTAAACTAAAATTAATATTTTGAAATAATGTCGAAATAAAAGTATTAACAATACATCATACCTTACTCCATGCATCAATGCCGCCAATAACTAGTTGTCCAGTCATTTTATATCCATCCGAGTAAATTCCAGAAACTTTCAAATACTTTGTTGGTGCTCGACCTTTTGCACCAGTAACCAAAACTTTATTCTCTCCTACTTGCTTTAACTTTACACCCCTCAGATCCAAAATTACATCTGGCAAAATATATGTGCCGGGATCTAATATTTCATATACCATTTGTTCACCAACTGTCGCTGGTGTTACAAGTCCACCAGTATACTTGGGTTTAGTAACAAAAAATTCACCATCTTTGAAGTATTCGACAATTGGATATCCCATATTATTCCATCCACCATCAGGTGAAAAGGCACTTTGTCTCCAATCCGTAAAATTACCACCAGTTGCTTGACATCCACATTCTATAATATGCCCAGCTAATGATCCAGAAGCTAACAAATCCCAGTCATTATAAGGATCCCAACTAAATTCATGAATTAATGGACCTAGTACCAACGCACTATCTACACAACGGCCAGTAACCACAATATTAGCACCCGAGTTTAATGCTTTAACAATTGGAATGGCACCAAGGTATGTGTTAAGTGAAATAACTTTTTTATCGCCAAGTGGAAACCATTCAGTATCCTCAGAATTTCCTTGAATATGAGAAAATTTAAGTAATTCATTGTCATTATGCACTTTATCCAAAATATCATCACCAGTAACCGCGGCAACAATTACTTTGCCATCAAGATCAAGATCTTTGACTAAACTTTCAATTGCTGATTTACATGCTAAAGGATCCAAACCTCCGGCATTAGTGACTATTTTAATATTATATTTGACAATTTCGTGTAGTAGAGGCCGTAGGACATAGGTGAGAAATTCGGAAATGTAACCACCTTCGCTTGCACCTTTTAAACTTTTACGATCTGTTGATTTCTGATTACGGTTACGTGCAAGTAATCCTATTGTCACTTCTGGAATTTTAATTATATTTCAGAGAATTAGTTTTATAGTTGAATTGTAAAAGGGTAGTAATTTACAATATAAGGTTCGTGAATTCTCGTTTACCAGAAAGATAGTCTCCAACTAAATAGTCTAACGCGCCTTTCTCCAGTCTAACTAGTTGTTCTGCTGCAGTAACAGAATCACCCCAAAAAGCGCTAGTAAAGGTGGATTTTTTTTTTTATAAGGACCGATAATCGCAACAATAAATTCTAAAGAGACATAAATACCTATAACAACCAATACGAATAGGCTTATCTGAAACCATAATCTTTGATAAGGGACGTGTCAAATATTAATTGAAATTAATACTATAAAGCTCACCTTCTGTCTATCTATCTCGCACTTCGCACCTTACGATATCAGCTGATATCTGTCGAATCCCTAATCGTTATATAGAAAAAGATCTGGTTGAATAACGTACTCACGTGAAGAACTAGAATTTAACGACATTAAACGTTTAACTCATTCATAAAAAAAAAATGAAATTATATTCCAAAAGTTTAGGTACAAGGCTAAACTTTTCTTGTGATTATAAAAGACGTGGATATTTCTTGAATTTAGGATGTAATAAAAAATGGACTACTTTAGAAGATAACATACTTTTAAGGCGTGCCATTATGTGTGGTTTTAAACATTGGGGAGTAATTGCTCGTGGTTTATACAAAAGAAATTCATTAGAATGTTTTTATCGTTGGAGAAAACTCAAGGTTTTAATAGATTGGTCCTATACAAAAAATTTTTTCTTTACTCCTAACGAATTAAAAACTTTTTGGAAACTAGTATCTAAATATGGGACTTCTTGGAAAAAAATTTCAGAAAATTTTCAAAATAAATCAATAACACAATGTAAAGAACTTTATCACGATATGCAAAGATTTTCGGTTATAAACAAACAATTTGCACCTGTGAGTTACAAAAAAATTTCAGATATAGTACAAAAAGTTGAACAAAAAGAAGATAATTTAAAAGATAATAAAAATAATAAAAAAAAGAAGATAATCTGGTTGACTGATGAAGTTAAAAAGCTTAAGAGTATTGTGAGAGGACAATCATTTAATGATGTTAACTGGCGTAAAATAGCAATCGAATTTCCAGGCAAGAGTCCAGATCAATGTAGAGATAAATGGAAGGGAACGTGGGATGAAATAGAAGATCAAGTCCTTAAGGATATAGTGACAAAATACGGAAATGATTGGGAAACAGTAGCTGAACACATTGAGGGACGAACACCAAACATGTGCCGAGACAGATGGCAAATAATTAATCCAGATAAAGTTAAATATAAAAGATTTTCAGAAATGGACCAACAACTTTTAGAACATGTTATAGTTAATGAGTGTCCTTTATGGAGAGGAAAAAGAATTAATTGGAAATATATATCAGAAAAATATTTTCCGAATCGTAGTAATATAGAATTATTAGATTATTGGAGACAGTATCGTAATCCCAATGATTGGACTCAAGAGGAAGATGAATTACTTCGTCAGAAAATGAAAGAATATAGGGGACCACCTGAAAGCATGTGGGAAAATATTTCTAAAAGTATAATTGGACGAACAGCATTTCAATGTCGTGAAAGATGGTTTCATGCAGCAAACCCTGAACTCAAGTTTGGACGTTGGAAATTAGAAGAATGTATTGCATTAATTAATGAGATTAAAAGGCATGGGAAACGATGGAATATAATTAGCAAGAATTTAAGACGACCATACCATAATGTAAGGAAAAAGTATAGGAATATGGTAAAATATAATGATAGACTCATCAGGGCTTTACGCCATCAAGAACTAACAGATTCTGATGAATTGGATACCAAATAATTCAGTAAATTTAAAGCTTCCAGATAGGAATTGTCAAGAATGAGTATTGATAATCGAGCATATTAAGGGTTTCCTGTTGAATTCCAATTAATTTTTCTATTAGAGATAACAAATGGATTTAATTTTTATCCTGACTTTTTTTTTTGTTTTTTAGTCTTTTCTTAATCTTGGATTTTCTACTTCAATAAAAAAAAAAAACAAGCAATAATAATTTTGGGTTTAGTATTAAGGCAATTAATTTATCTGAATACATTAAAACAAAGTTTTCAAATTAAACAGTAAAATGGTCTTAATACATACTGTATATTCACTAAATTTATATACACAGTTATAAAAAAAAAAAAAAAATTTAGAAATGTATAAATTACTATTATACTTGACACAATTTTAATGCTAAACTACAGTCATATAATAAAATTTACAAATCTTATGGTTAATTTCACAGAAAATTTGCCAATTGTTATGATCAATCTGTGCTATCAAACTACGTGTATTGGATCGAAGGTTCATAAATTCATTTTAAGCTACACTGAGAGTGGGACGTTGACTTTTTATGTAAAATTGAACTATACATAATACTTTAATAAATGGGTGATTATTTTTGAACCCGGACCAAGTTCATATATGACGTAATAACATTTTGGACTGGATTCAAAAATAATTATCCAAATTCAATATGATCATACTGTATACACAGCGAGTTAGTAAGTACAATATATATACGTAATTTATTAACTAAAGTATATACAATATACTAAATTTAAATATAGAAAACTTTTATATAGTATTTATTACTCGAATAATATTCGTATTCGACGAATATTTGAAGAAATTTTTTCAACAATGCAAAAAAGAAAATTTTATTAAACGTGAAGTTAAGATTTGTATATTCGGTAACATTTGCACTATTGAATCGTGTTGCGATACAGCAATGTTATCAATGGAAAGTTGCTGGAAGTCAAAATTAAAATAGTACCATTCGTTGAAGACAATTGATAACACTGCCGGTAAAGGTACTAGAGTTGTTAATTGGGTTGATCCAATCATCGACCCATTTCATTAAATTAAAAGCACCAGAATCTTACTTCGGAACTGCTCTAGGTTGTTTCCGATTGTTTAAAACTTATATGTTTAAACCTATCTCAACTTGGGCTCAACCTGAAGTGGCTACGCCATTTACAACCTAAAAGGTACGTACGTAGAGCTTACTGATTTCTTATTCGAATCATATTCGAATAACTTAAATCAGCAAATGTTTATTCGAATATTCGCCGAATGACTAATATTATTCGAATAAGTAATAATATATAGTTTGTAGGCTAATAATATATAGTGAACCAACAAATGACTGAAGTTTCACATGATGAATAATATATAGTTATTGGATGCGAAGCAGCCAATAACGGAAATTATTTGTAAAATAATTTCATTATCTGGCTGT